ATCCTCCTGCTTCCCCCTCCCAAAGTGCTAGGATTCAGGCGTAAGCCACTGTGCCTAGCCAGGAAGATTTTAAACGATAAATTCAATTTCCTTTGTAGATTCAGAGCTATTCAGATTATTGATTTCTTGAGTGAGCGCTGCCAGTTTGTGCATTTCAAAGAATTAGTGTATTTCATCTAAGTTGTCAAATGTGTTGGCACAAGGATGTTCACAGTATTTCCTTATTATCCTTTTAATGTCTCCCAAATCTCCAGTGATACGCCCTCCTGCATTTCTGATATGGGTAATTTGTGTCTGTCTCTTTTCTTATTTAGTCAGATGAAAGGTTTATCAATTTTATGACTCTTTTCAAAGAACCAGCATTTGGTTTCATTGAATTTCTCTAATGTTTTTCTGTTTTCTCTCTCACTGATTTCTGCTTTTACCTTTATTTATTATTTGCTTCATTCTGTATTTGAAATAGCTAATGAAACTAAGCACTAATAATACTTGCAAACCATTAACCAGACAGGTATAAACAGATGAAATGTCCTTGTGTTTCATCAAAGTACAATTTCCTACAGCTATTGAGGACACATAAATTAAAACTGCTTATAACTAAAAAAAATTTAACCATTCAAGAGCTTTCCAAAGAAATACATTTCTATTTTACTTGTTATGAACTGAGCATAAACCATTAAATGGGTAGCTAAGACTGGTTCTATCTTTCAAAAAATCTTTAACAAAAGGTGATTTCAGAATCAATGGAAAATATTTGGAAAGAGCAAAATTATTAATAACCTATTGCTAGAAAATAGCAGAAATCACCCTGCGGAAGATTAAGTATCTGGGAATATTTTAGGTATTTTCTGTCTGCTCATATCTTCCTCAGTGAGTCAAACAATACAATGGGGCATTAACTGATAATCAAACTACCATTTGTGTGTGAAGACAAGGAAAGTTATTCTCAGATATGCAATGGTTCAGAAAATACTTGTTCTTCAGAACTACTACTTCACAACCATTGCTTCCCACTCTCTCTTTTGTTAACCAATTATGATACAGTTTGGTATATTTACTACTCAAAATGCAACATAGCTGAGAATGATCATTTACATAACTCAAGTGTCAGTTCTTGACCACTTTTGATTTTTAACTTCTCTACTTAAGTACTTGATTAACAAACCAGACAGTCAATGATAACTTCATCTTATCATCTTAATCATTCTTATTTGGATCCCTTAGATCACTCTTTATAATTAATATGCAAAGAAATCCTCAAAACCCAATGCTTAACTTTATCCCATCTCAGTGATAATTTAAGATATGATAGCACTTGATAGCACTTAGAAAAAGAATGGCTCATTCCAAAAAGTGAATATTTAACAGAAAGAATAGTGGGGGATAAGGGAAGAGAGAAGAGAAAATGACTTCAAAGCATCTCTTAAATGAATACACATAACTGAGAGAAGTCCTTATTAACATTCTTCTTGATTCCATTATGTAATATTTCAAGAGCTAGATTAGAAACCCTCTCCACATTGAAAGTATCTAACATTACAACTTTCCCAGATTCTAAAATTTAATCAACTATTAAATTTAAAAATATTGTTACAAGCTATATAATTAATACTAATGTGGAAAACATACAGTCCAGTTAATAATTACTGATTATTTAAAAGACATCATTCCCTACATAAGAAACTTACTTATTAGTAAAGAGACCCACTTACTTGTCAAAGCTATATTGGGCCATTCTAGCAATAAAAGTTGCTTCTCCAACCACCTGAGCCATTCTTCCAAGAGCTTCCCCTGCTGCACATCGTAAGATAGGGTTTGGGTTGTCAAGAGCGCCCATAACCAGTGTCAGAGCAGATTTCCGAACTTCCTCAGGTCCCAAAGTACTTTTGTTCTCAGCTAAGCCCTATTTTTTTTTTAAAATGAAGGCAATTCAAAATTCATTTTAAATGAAAGAAAAAATGTGCTATAATCTTTGTAAATATACATACATCTTTGTACATTATTTTCTTCAGCCAACTTTCACATGTATATACTGATACCTAGAATCAGTACCTATTAAATTAACAGTAATCACTTTCCCAAAATATGATTTCAGAACATGATATGATACGTAAAATAGTTATAGTCTGGCCCTAAAACCACCAATCCCTGGGAGTGTCTCTATCCAAAGACATACTTAAAAGTTGCTTTTATACATAAAGGACACGGTGTTATTCAATCGACCATTATATTTAACTGGTTGAAATTTATCACTCTAACTTTACGGAAGGAAAAAGCCTGATGAGTATGAAACTTTGATTCATTTACATAAAAATTCCACAGAAGATATAATAATTATGTCTTTTTTTTTTTCAAATAACCCCACCACCCCTAATAATTATGTTTTAAAGAGTATAATCAATATATCTAAAGACAAAGTGAGGTAAAAATAATCAGTAACTGAATGGTAAAATAGTTTGTTCATCATACTATATGATGTTCCAACTACACTTACTGTCTTGGAACCTAATTTACTTACTTGAGATGAAAAATCCAAGTCATGGTGCCTGGGGAAAATGTTAACTATAGCAGAGGCATTAGCATATCTATGAAGCATAATCTGTACAGCAATATTACAGTTGGTTCACTATTCTTCCCACCACTGAAGGTGACCATGACCACCCCATTACCATTCTTTCTTTTTTTTTTTTTTAAGTTTTTTATATTTTTAAGAGACCAAGTCTCACTCTGTTGCCTCGGCTGGAGTGCAGTGGCACAATCATAGCTCACTGTAACCTTGAACTCCTGGGCACAAGTGATCCTCTGGTCTCAGCCTCCCAAGTAGCTGAGAATACAGGCATATGCCACTACACCTGGCTAATTTTTTTTGTTTGTTTGTTTTTGAGACAAGAGTCTTACTGTGTTGCCAGGGCTAGAGTGCTGTGGTGTCACCCTAGCTCACAGCAACCTCAAATTCCTGGGCTCAAGCAATCCTTCTGCCTCAGCCTCCCAAGTAGCTGGGACTACAGGCATGTGCCACCATGCCCAGCTAATTTTTTCTATATATTTTTAGTTGTCCAGCTAATTTCTTTCTATTTTTTTGGGGTCTCGCTCTTGCCCAGGCTGGTCTCAAACTCTTGAGCTCAAATGATCCTCCCGTCTCGGCCTCCCAGAGTGCTAGGATTACAGGTGTGAGCCACCGTGCCTGGCCTACACCTACCTAATTTTTTAATTTTTTCTAGAGATAAGGTCTTGTTATGTTGCCTAGGCTGGTCTCAAACTTCTGGCCTGAAGCAATCCCCCTGTGTTGGCCTCCAAAGGTGATGCGATTACAGGTGTAGGCCACCATGCCCAGCCCCCATTCCTTTTTTTTAAAAACTCAGATGTCAGTACTAGTTGATAGTCTCTACATAAGGCATATACTAATGGTTATATAAATGATATTATATTTGTATAATCAATACCTATATTCCTTTTCTCTGATGCTTACAAAACATGACTTAAGACATATTCATTAAAACACTTATATTTGCTACCATTTTATTTTAAAAAGCTTAATAATATAAAAAGTTTTCAAATACATTATAAGAGGCTGCAACGTATCATGCACGAACTCTGTGAGACAGGCAAACTATTTGTTATTGCAGTCCCCCTTTATGCACATGGGATACATTCCAAGACCTACCTCACATACCTGAAACCACAGTGAGTATGGAACCCAATTGCCGTCAATCGGAACACATTTCTGTTCATGTCTTCCACCCACAAATTCAGTGCCTTTACCATCTTAACTAACCCCTTCTTACACATTGTGGCCATATTAGTAGTCTGAGGTGTGACAGCAAAACTAACACAAATTTCTTCTCTTTTCTTCACAATTTCACAGATAGAAGATTCAATCTTTCTGTAGATCTCAGCAACTTCAGCATATGATTTTTTTTCTTTCCTTATTAAGTACAGCACTTTTACCTTTTCACTTACAAAAAGCACTTTATGGCTTCTCTTTGGCATATCGGAATGGCCAGAATCACTACCCTTGCACTTTGGGGCCAATATAAAGCAAATTGAGGGTTACTTGAACTTGAGCACTGCAATGCAGCACAGCCAATCTGATAACTGAGACAGATGGCTACTAAGTAACCAATAGGCAGGTAGTGTAGACAGCATGGATACTCTGAACAAAGGGAAGATTCACATCCTGGGCAGGACAGAGCAGGACAGCATCAGATTTCATCACACTGCTCAGAGTGGTGTACAATTGAAAACTTATGTTCATTTCTGGAAATTTCCATTTACTATTTACTGTGGGTGAACATGGTTAACTGAAACTGCAGAAAGCAAAACCATAGATTGGGAGAGGGGGACTACTGTATTCCACTTCATATGTGTAGAAATTGTAGCTCAGAAATGTTAAAGGAATTACAAAAGACACAAACCTAGTTAGTACCTAAACCAGAACACAATCTCTAAATACAACATTCTTTCAACTATATAACACAACCTCATTTGATTTACAGTCTAAATCACAAATCAAACTTAAACTTTATTTAGTTAACTTTCAGTAGAATATCAGATTTTACTAGTCAAGACATCTTCAGAAATTCTGAAAGAACCTACTCATTCTTGTGAAAACTGAGGCTCAAATTTAAACATGAACTTTAACATTAGTAATATATAAAACACTTATGTAATTACAATGAGCCTAGCCAGGCACAGTGGCACATGTCTGTAATCCCAGCTATTCAGTAGGCTGAGGTGGGAAGATCACTTAAGCCCAGGAGTTTGAGATCAGCCTGAGCAACATTGCAAGACCCCATCTCAAAAAAAAACAAAACAAAAAACCCCAAAACCCAACAATAAAAAAAAAATTACAATGAGCCTAAAATTTCTAGTAATTTAAGCTAAAAAAAGCACAGTTATCAAGTGATATACATATAAACATTATAATAATCTTGATATGCCTGGCTTATTGAAGACATTAACTAAAATCTTATTTCAGAATATTTATTATGTTTTAAAAGTAAATACCTTTAGTGCACTAAGAACAGCAGTAAATATATTAAGCTGCACAGCCTGCTGACGGACTCCTTTGGCTTGTTTAACACATTCAGCAAAGTGATCCAACATTTGTAGTCTATGATAGGAGGATAAAGTTCACATTAGTGATACTTTTATTCAAATATGGCTCAAAAAACAGAGATAAGAAAAGTACAAGTTAATTGTTTAGCAAATAATGCCTGTGCGGTCTCTTTTCTACTTCATTCCCACAGCTGGTCCAAACCAGATTTCCTACTCCCAAATTAATATATGGTCATACGATTATTAAATAGAATAATATAAGAGACTAAATATTAAATTTCAATTAGCAAATCAAAATAATAATTGTACAAGTTAATTGTTTAGCAAATAATGCCTGTGCTGTCTCTTTTCTACTTCATTCCCACAGCTGGTCCAAACCAGATTTCCTACTCCCAAATTAATATATGGACATACGATTATTAAATAGAATAATGTAAGAGACTAAATATTAAATTTCAATTAGCAAATTAAAATAATAATTGCAGTGGACTTCAACATAAACACCAGTGTCTAACAAAGTGCTTGGCATATATGAGGTGTTCAAGATTTCTTGAATAACAATAATTATGTATCTCCAGAAGATTTTTAAGTTAGAAATTTTAAAATGTGGCCTAATTTTTTTCTTTTTAAAAAATACTCTTACATAGAAGAAAATAGTACCTCATGTCCTAGACTAAATATTAAATTTCAATTAGCAAATCAAAATAATAATTGCAGTGGACTTCAGCATTAACACCAGTGTCTAACAAAGTGCTTGGCATATATGAGGTGTTCAAGATTTCTTGAATACCGATAATTATGTATCTCCAGAAGATTTTTAAGTTAGAAATTTTAAAATGTGGCTCAAAATCCCATTATCATTCTTCACAGATCTGGAAAAAATAATTCTACGCTTTGTATGGAACCAGAAAAGACCTCGTATAGCCAAAGCAA